AGGCGATTTTCCGCTTTTTAGGCTATCTACGAGGGTATCGGGGCGACCAAAAATTGCGATTGGCGACTGGTCGTAATTCAGGCTACTTCGGAAAAAACGATGGCGATTTTAGGCTATATAAATCTCTCTTTTTAAGTAAGTCTCTTAGGATACGTAATAAAAATACGTGTCATGATACATGTTTTTGACACAAAGAAATGTCGAAGAAAACTAGATTTGAAAGTTAGAAGACCTAAGAAAAAGACCTCTTTTTCTTGTGAAGGTATTCAAAAGTTAATCCTAATATGTGTGAAATATAAAATAATGTAGTAACATAAAGACCCAAACATGTTATGTGTTTTGCATTGTTTGCCCTCACCACCGCCGCCTTACTGGGTATTCTCCACCTAACCCTTCCCTGTCTTTTACCTATTCGATTTGTTTAATATTGATATACTTAGGGAGTGACAAGGGCGATACGTCAATTAGACAAGCTAGTTAATTGCACACTGGTTTAATGAGACAGCGACCGTTCGGTGGGGGACGCAGCCCGCACACCCTTACACACATAGATATACACAACATCCCTCCACCTTATAGCTAACATAATATACAAAATCAATAATTACATAAAATATGGAAACATTTTCCAAGCTATGACAACATAGATCACGTAGAGAAACGTTAGCCTCCATCGAGGTATCCTCCTGTTCCGATGTCGGCGTAGAGAATATCGGACTTATAGCTTGTCTTCTTCGAGGAGGGGCGCTAGCACGGAGCGGAGTCTTCGGGTACTCGCTAATACCGCTTGCCAGGTCAGGTTCCGTTATGTCCCGTCCTTCCCCTCCTACATCAGCTGTGGTTCCAGGCTGGACTCCGTCGCTAGAAACAGTAGCGATCAGCTCGTTGGGCACCACATCCGGGTCCCATCGCCGGTCATCTCTAGCCGGTGAGTATAACCGTGCTCTTAACTGATCGACATGTCTCGTGACTTCGCAGTTATATTGAGGTACGTATATTCTATACATTACGTTTCCAATTTTTCTTTTCACTATGCCTTCGATCCAACAGAATTTTTTACTGTCTATATTTTTCGTTAACCACACTTTGTCATTAATTCTTAATTCTGATCTTTGTGTCCCTTTATAATTATGGGCCTGTAATAACTGATTATGTTCCACTGTTTTAACGAGGTCTGTGGACGCGGGATACGACGCTAGTAGGTTTAATAAACCTAGCCGTGAACGTAACGCGCGCCCGTAGACCCGTAGATGAGTTCTGCTGGTGACTTGTTCGTGGTACTGTTTTTAGAGTTCGTATAGTCAAATAAAAATTTTGATATTTTTTCTTGAACTATTTTTTTATTTACGCTTTGTAAAATAATACCCTTAAGGCCCCTTTTAACAATTTTAACAAAACTTTCTGCTTGTCCGTTACTACTTGGATGATACACCGGGGATAATGTGTTTTATACCGTTTTGTACACAAAAATTCTTAAACTCCTGAGGCGTGAAAGAGGTCCCATTGTCACTCACCAACGTATGAGGTACTCCGAAACGGAACATAAAATCGTATAATCTATTAAAACAGCTTTGAAATTATAAGAAGTATTCATATTATAACATTCAACCCATTTACTGTAAGCGTCTACAATAATCAAATACATAAAATTGTTGAATGGACCTAGAAAGTCGAGATGGACCCGATGAAATGCATGCGGTGGCAAGGGCCAGGGAGCGAGGGGTGCGTGCGGCGTCGCGGGCCGCAGCGCTGCGCAGACACTGCATGCGCCTGCCAGCTGCTCCAGCACTGCATCCACCCCGGGGAACCATAAACGTTTACGTGCCTCCGCTTTTATTTTAACCACCCCGAAATGAGAACTATGCAATTCCTTACATATCAACTCTTGAAGTGATGTGGGAATCACAACTTTATGGCCGCGCATAAAGACACCGTTTTCATAAGATAGTTGATATCTACAATTGTAAAAGGGTTTTAAATCTAAATCATTATTTTTTCTTGGCCACCCATGTAAAACGTAGTGCCTAACGCGACACAGAACCGTGTCGTTGCTCGTCTCGCGCTGTAAATCTCTCAGCGTCACCGGCAGACCACCCTCGACTACGAAATTAACATAGGCAGCGCGATCTTCGCACGCCGCGAGCTCGTCTAGGTCACTAGCGGGTGTCCTCGTCGACTCGAAGCGTGATATGGACGCAGGTGGACACGCTCTGGACAAGTAATCCGCGCTGTTATGTTTGCTACTGATATATTCGATTTTATAATTATAGGCCGCCAGAAACATCGCATAACGCTGTAGTCGGTTGGCGGTCACCTCGGGAATGCCTTTATGAGGCCCGAATATAGACAATAAAAGCTTACGGTCTGTTCGTAGCGTGAAAGGCGTGGATCGACCATACAAATACTGATGAAAACGTCTCACCCCATAAATAATGGCTGTTTCCTCTTTCTGGATTTGTGCGTAATTCTTTTCAGCAACTGTAAGCGTTCGCGAGACGTAAGATATGGGTCTTTCTAATCGGTCGTCGCCTATCTGAGACAATACAGACCCTAACCCTGTTGGAGACGCATCAACTGTTAATATTAACTCGGCCTTCGGGTTAAAGTGGGTTAAAATTTTGTCACTAGCGAGATATTTTTTTATTTTCTTAAACGCATCGTCATGTACAGAAGTACCATTGCGCACTACTTACACGCTTAGAGTATGCGAGATCCTACTATATTCTATAGGTAATGAAACTAACCCGATGGTTTCTATGTGTTCGTCCGTATAACTTAATAGCTTTTTGTTGGTGGCTGACAATGGCAAATGATTAAATTTAGAAATATAAGTTTTTTACCGAAATTACGCTTACTGCCGAACCGCTATCTAATTCGAACTCTAAAGAAAGACCATTTATCATAACGCGTTCCATCATCAGTTTCACTTTCAAACACCGAATATTGTAAAACACTCACAGTCGTCGTCTCCTTCGACCAGAGTACCTTCCTCGACATATTTTATTCTGTCATCATAAGCGCACATTTTTCGTAAATGACCTTTCCTATTACACTTTTTACACTTGCGATTTTATAGCGACACTGATTGGATTTATTATTGGCATAACCACACACATTGCACTTTTCCTTCTTGGAGATGTTGAATACGCACCATCCGCGAATCCGCTCGCACCGACACCACTCTCGCCCGGCGCCGCAACTGATGAAGCGTGACGTGCACAGTGCACGCTCTCCGCCAAGTTGATGGCCTTTGCCAGGGTCAACTCCCGCTGATCTTGCGCGAAGCGTTTGTCCCGCTCGTGTCCTGCCGCCATGCCCATGATAAATCTGTCCAACAGGGCTTCCTCCAAGTTCTTAATTTCACAATGTACCGCCAATCCCCTAATTCTGGCCGCCCACTGAGTGTGACCTTCACCTGGTCGCTGAGTTGCCGCATAGAAAATTGATTTTTCTGCAAACCCCAACCTTTTCGGTGTGAAGTGATCATCGAGGAGCTTAACTATTGCTCCGTAGCTCAACTCTTCTACCTTGCTGGGTAACGCCAGGTCATTAGCTAACTTGAACGTCGATTCACTTAGCGCACTCAACAATATCGCTCGCCGCTTTACTGTTGCTTTGTCAGTTTCATTGGTTATGTCGTTCACGATAAACCACTGATTCAATCGCGATTTATAACTGTTCCATTCGTGCGAAAGATGATCGAATGTTGATATAATGCCAAAAGTTACTCCCGTCGACATTTTTAATGTAAATACGAGTAAAAGCGAGTTCGCTCGTCGCCACGTGTTGAATATTGATATACTTAGGGCGTGAGAAGGGCGATACGTCAATTAGACAAGCTAGTTAATTGCACACTGGTTTAAATCATTTAATGAGACAGGGACCGTTCGGTGGGGGACGCAGCCCGCACACCCTTACACACCTAGACATACACAACACGATTGTTCGTCGATTTTATATATTTTATATACATATGCAAAACAAACAAAAAAAGCCTTTATAGGCTATAAAGTAAACAAAGTTAGGCGAATTTAGGCTACTTGGCGTCAAATTTTTGGCGACTCAGACTGGTCTAGACTTGGCAACACTGTTTATAAGTTTACCACTGCAGAGAGACAAGAGTTGCGCACAGTAGGTACATTTAGAAGTTTTTGACGTAAACTTCGTTTGACAGCTCCTTTTTTTCTAGGAAGTTCGTTTACGAACTTTGTTTAGTACACGAATTGTATGTAGGTACCGTCAAATGCCCTAACTTTTCACGAATTTTGATATTATTTAGTTTTGTCGTAAAATAAATTCTGAATTTGTACTTTTTAGCAGATAGAAATTAAAAGAGTAAAAACAAGACTTAGTTATAATATATAACATTTATTTTCGACATTACGCTTAATATTAATAACTTTTTGGAGGTATTTCAAGAAAAAGGCAAAGTTATGTCTAATATTCCTAACATTGCCAGAGGCGTTTACTCCAAAATAAATATATACATTTAATCTTGGGATAATCTTAAATGTAGCTTAATAATTCAACAATACAAATCAATTTCGAATAACACCTTTTGGAGTATTTTAGTAGATAAAATATTATAAGGCAATGTTAGGACACAATTTCTTCCAACATTCATACATTGACAAAGAAAGTGTAGGGTTGTCTCATAAAAAAAATAAGTAGGTAACAAATATTAAAATTATATTTAAAACACATGTTATAACACTTAATCGGTCATTCTCATTGCAAGCAGTTTTTATTAAAATTACAATCAGTCTTTCGAAATTAACCCTTTTTCTTAATAAACATAATCTATAAACGCACAATATGACATAGTAAAGTTTTACTTTATTTATCCTAAAAAAATACAACAATATCACAATGAAGTCAAAAAATAATTATCAGGTAATGAATTTCAATAAATGTTTGACAAAGGAACACCTTATTTATACAAATCAAACTTTAATGTCCCTCTACGTCCAACTTGTGGATTAGGCAACTTTTTTTCTACATCAAGTAAAGTTATTTCTGAGACATACAGCCAACTTTGATGTTGAAAATTTAACAGGAACATATTTATCAATGCCTATTTCATACATATCATTTTCTTTATCAATATTTTGTTCCAATTCTTCATACATTTCGTCTATGTACGTTTCCGTGTCACTTAAAGATGGAAGAAAATGTTCATCACAAGACGAATCATGCACAGTATACATTCCTGAGCTTTCTGAACTCGAACCTTGACTGCTCCTACTTTTTGGAAACACCTTTTCATGCTTAGTATAGTGATCTGAAACACTATCATCAAATGAGATTCTATCTGGGGATTTTATAATTACATTGGAGAGAATTCGGCTTTTCGTAATAGTTTCATTTGATGCAGTTGCACAAAAGTTAGAAATATTTTTGAATAAAGTCCGGTCATTTGATAAACATAAATTTTTATCAACATTCACAATAACGCCTGGTTGAATGTTGTAAATACTTTTGGTATTATTCTGGTCAGATAATTCCATATATCCATGTTTTTGATGTATTTCAGCATTTACTATCAAATTAGTAATAAGTTGGTTATTGTCAGCATTGGGTGACGAATCTCGTCTAACGTGTAATGAGACATTGTCAAAAATATAAAGTGTGGGTTACACTTTGATTATATATAATCAAAGAATCTGCAATAGTTGAATTTGTTTCTTTCACGTCTTCCTGTAATTGGATTTCTTTGGGGATGATATTCTTCTTAGGATTGAGTCTTTTTGCGTTACTTACTTACATTCATATGTGACGATAAATTGTCTCCAATTAAAACTTTAGGATCAGTGGTTTTCACTGCCCATGGGATAATTATGGTATTAAACCAGTCTACAAAAGTATACGAATCGAACCAACCAGATTTGGTTTTGTTGTATCTGGTTCCTTCAGGCCCGTTTGCACACCAATTTGTCCACAAATTGTCTGCTTTGCATACGACATATGGTGAGAAAATTTCTCCACTTGCCGTAGCTGAGAACATAACAGATATCGCCGCCTTGGTATTGTTTAGTGTTTTGTTTGGGTATTTAGTACCTGCTTTAAATATGCATTTTTGAGATCCTGGGTTATCGGAAAAGTTGGTCTCATCATAGTTCACTATATGATCTGGTTTGACATTATGCAATGAAATCTTCAAATTTTCAAAATATGTATTGTAGACCTTTACACTCTTACTGGCTCGGGATTCTTTAATATTATTTGTAGAACGCACCGTCAGGACATTTTTGTGCCGTTTCAAGAAGTTTGTTACCCACTTCTGACCCGGCATTTTGTAGTAAAAAATATTACTGAGTCCATTTTTGATTAAGTAATCATGTACGATTGACCTTAATTCAAAGCTAGTAATATTCTCCACAAAGAATTAAACAACTGACTATTTTCTGTTCATCAGCTGATGGCAGTTTGGTGGGACATCCGACTTTTTTCGTGTGTTTTTGTTTTACTTTATTTGAAATCGTGCGGCGAGGGATACCAAATTGTTTCTCAGCGTCGTATGAAGTAATATTTTTATTTTCAACGAGACCTACAGCAATGTTTAGTAAGCTCTCATCGTAATCTTTATATTTTCTTCGCGGCTTGTTCATTTTGATTGTCCTTCAAACAAACAGAAAACTGAGTATATATATATATATATATATATATATATATATATATATATATATATATATATATATATTCTTTTAACTAACTTTTTTTGTATAAGACTCCATTGACATTACGAAAGCAAAGCAAGAAATTATCTAAAGTAGGTAAACATAATATACATAAGTCACGCGCCCGCCTAATTAAAATTAATAACAAGTGTCAACCCTAGGCTCGGCAATGTTCGGTACACTTGTTCTCAAAACATGCCAAACTTTGCCTACATCAGTATTTATCAATAATTATTAGTGTATTTCTATCGTTAAAAATGACAAATTATCAAATTATCGTAGTTTTACGGAATGAGTATAAAACAAGTTGAAATTAAACATATTTTAATGACTTACTTGAAGTTTTCTCACAACTCTCGTAACCGCCGTTCTACACTTTGATTCAGCACCCGATTGTCAAAAATCTTTGCATAATTTACCAACGTGATGCCACTAATTTTGTGTTGCCAGATAATAATTCTAAAAATATATCAAAGTTTCTGTTGTCAGGCTAATAAAATAGAAAAGATATTACTTCTTTCTCATTATGGGCAAACATTGGACCCATGGCAAAGTTAGGGAGTTTGACGGTATGTACTTACACGTAAAAAGTAAAAGAATATTTTGCGATCTGACTATCAATGTTACCCTTGTTAATCAAAGTTACCTCGATTGACTGTAGCTCATAGTGGAGGAAAGCAAAGTTATAATTATTGCTTTTGCCCCGGGTGACCTTAATGTAATTATATATATAATATAATTATATATCTATTATAATGTATATTTTAGACGATGACATCATGTTTGTTCGAACTCCGGGCACGGGCACATATCGTCGGGCCGGATGTGATAATGGCCGTCTCGATGTCGTTTGGCGGGCACGACCGAATGTAGTGTGGTCCTCATACTAACGTCGCGTCGGGTGCGCAATAAGGGCCGGGATAAGGTATATAATAATAATTATTGTTATTTCGCAGTTGGGAGTTTGGTCGTGGAATGGTCTGGTGGTTATTAATTTGTGTCGGATATTGAGGTCTTTGGGATTGATTTGTCTTATACACACACACATTATATATATATATATATATATATATATATATATATTTTTTGTCAAAACTCGAGTGTTTACACTCGAGTTTCTGTGTACTCGAGTGGTTGCGGAGTCGTGTGGCCAGTAGTCTTAAATGCATTGGTTTTGTTCTAAGATCGTTGCAGTCATAGAAAAGAGACGGTTCTGATTTTTTTATAAAAACTGTTTATTGTATAAATCGACATGTAATTATGAGTTTTGTCGATTGATGACACTTTTTTGTAATAAAAGGTACTAAATGCCTGAGATATAGTCTAGAAAACGACGGATTTGATTCTGTGAGCGTAGTACAACGCCCGATTAAAGAAATAAGAATGCGTCCGTGTTCGGCGGACGGCGCTCGTCCCCCGCACCCCGCTCACCGCGGCGGATCACTAGTGTCGTTCTTGTTCTACTGAAACGCGCACATGTCACTCGCGGCGAGTTTTAAAATAAATTTCAAATTATTTCTAAAATCACACGAGTTTATACGTATGTATTTAACTCGAATAAAGTAAAAATATGAATTCGAGGTCAAAACGAATGTTAGCGTTGATGAAAAATTATGATAAAGGTACGGATGTAGATCAAAGAATATTGGTTAATAATAACAATGGTATAGAAAAATCAGAAGAGCAGTCAACACATATTACGGGTATGTGAATATCATAATATTTTATTGCTTTACTAAGACTTTGTATGTTGTTTGGTTATTACTAAGATTGAATTTACGTACAACAACGGTTTGTCAAACTCGTCGTTGTCCTATGGATAATTTTATTTTTATTTTTAATTTTTATTTTTGTGTTACCATAGTTTAAATAATATTAATAGTATTTATACGTGTCACAACACATCCTTGTTAATCGTGTTTATTTTTCTTGATGGAATTGATTGACCGGCAATGTTCTATGGACCATTCGAGGGCGTATTGTACGACCCGTCATTTTTCTACGGATAGATGCTAGTTGAATATGCATATCCGTCATTATTCATGGGATTTTTTTTAACATACGTCGTTGTTCATTTATAAATAGACTTACTTTGATATTTTTTTTCTTATAATTTGTTTTCATTGTTAGCATCACGCTTTTTAAAATAGTTTTTTCCATGTATGTTTGAAAATAGTTTTTATTTAAGGTTTTATTCTATTAAAAATAATTACACAACATACAACCTTGATATGGCCTAATATCTTTTATCAATCTTGATGACACGGTGGTTGTGTTGTTGGACAATCGGAATAGGTTACGCGTTTGACTTCCGAGCGAGTACATTTGTAAAATTACATATTCTAAAAATCTATAGAAAGTACACGGTATATGTTAAGTTGAGAGAAGGTAATAGTGTAACAAATTCGTTTTGATATTTTTGCTTAAAACCTACTTAGCAACTACTTATTTTTTCAGCGGAACAGACTTGTGAATCGCCGTTACCACTTGAAGCAGTTGAAATATTATTGTCAACTCAGCTAATGCAAGATGTATGGAATGATGCCTTTTAAGAAAATGACATTCAAGAACCACCAGTCATATACCATCAAGACGAGACAATTGCAGCAGATTCCGTTCCTGAACAAAATGAAGATCCTTTTATGCCTGTAGGTGAAATGACTCCTATTAGCGCAATTGATTTCCCTCCATCAGAAACCTCACAGGTACATAGTAACATTAGATCTCCAACGCCGTTGACTTCCATTTTTAATGCTTTACCATCCCCATTAACTGAAAATATCGACGGTTCTTCTCAAGTGTCTTTACCCAATACTCCAGTAGCATCCCCAGTTAATAGATATGCAAAATGTGATGATCCGTTTTGTTGCCAACATGAAACTGGTGATTTTTCCTGCCCTTCAGTATCTACTATTGGTACAAACTCTAACCAACCATCTCCATCGTGTTCAACTTTTTTAAAAAAACAGAGGGAAAAGGCGCACTCGAAAATATGATTATTGGGGAGAAATAAAGCGAAAAAAACCTAAAAAACCAAGGCAAAACGTATGTTTCAAAAAGAGGGCGTATAGTTGATGCTAAAATAATGAGTTTCCATGCAAATGCAGATTTCAATGTACTAAAAAAATTTCAAATGAAGAGCGTCTTGAGATTTTTACCAGGTTTTGGGAACTTGGTAGCAAAGAAAAGCAATGGTTGTATGTAGCTAACTATACAAAAAAACAACCGAAAAACAGGACATTCGCACGACAGTTAAAGCACAATAGAGTATTTACATATAAATATTATTTACCGAAAAAATTGATAACACTACCATTTATGACAAAATTGATGTCTGCAAAATCATGTTTTTAAACACTCTGGGTATCAGCGAGCGTACAGCAAGAACTGCCTGGCAAAAACATGATGGCAGCTCAGATGTCGAACAAGACATGAGAGGGCGTCACAATAATCATAAAATAGTAATTGATAACGAAATGTTGTTATCCGTATGCGCTCATGTCAACTCTTTCGTGCCAATAGAATCGCACTATTGTCGGAAAGGGTCAAAAAGGCTTTATCTAGAAGGGAGTCTGAGTGTGGCTCGCATGTTCATGATGTATAATGACTGGCCGGACTTAGACAAGTATTCGAAAAAAGCTACAACTCTCCGACTGTACCGAGATATTGTAAACAGTCAATTTAATCTATCATTTCACATTCCTAAAAAAGATACTTGTGACCAATGCCATATTTTTAAACAGACTGAAAACCCTTCTGAAGAATTGAAAGAACAACACAAAAGACATCAATCACATAAGACTATTGCTAGACAGCTAAAAAATTCTAACAAAAATGCAGCTGTTTTATCAAACGGTATGATTTTATGTGCAACATTCGACTTTCAAAAGGTTTTATCGTGCCCACATGGACAGATAAGTGTACTCTATTACAAACGCAAGCTATCTTGCTACAATTTTACAATATTTGATGTTTCTACAAAAAGGGGATATTGTTATGTGTGAGACGAAAGTGTGGCGAAACGAGGCTCTAATGAGGTCGCTAGTTGTCTATATGATTTTATGAAAGATATTTCTGATAAAGGAGTAAAGGATTTCAGGTTTTGGTCAGACAACTGTGCTGGCCAAAATAAGAACCGTATTATATTTGCACTCTACAGTCATGTGGCCAAAAAGTTTGGTGTTACTATTACTCACCGCTTTCTTGAAAAGGGGCACACTCAAAACGAGGGTGACTCTGTGCACTCGGTGATCGAAAGAGCTGGAGAGCATAAAGTCATTTATACTCCGGAAGAGTGGAAGCTTCTAATAAGATGGGCGAAATCTGAGAATCCATACGAAGTAAGAGATCTTAATAGAGAACAGGTTTATAACTTTAGAGTTATTAAAAAAAAGAAACTGGACAAAGAATACACAAAATGAAAAAATAATGTAGACAAGAATAAGAGAAGTAGTAATTGAAGAAAGTCAACCTAATAAAATGCAGTATAAATATAGCCTAGAATATGATTCAATGACGTTAATAATTCGCAAGGAGACAAGAAATATTATAACAGAAACACTTAAAAACGCTTATTCAGGGCCAATTGATATTACAAACGATAAATATAAAGATATCATCAGCCTTTGCGAGACTGGAATAATCTCAGAAAAATACCATCCTTATTTTCGATACTTGCCACACAGTCTCACAGTAGAAGTGTCAGGAGATGCTGATAGTACTGATGATGATGATGACGATTGCTAAAAAACAAAACTTATCAAAGAATTTTGAGTCTGATTAGTTTATATTATGTAGGTTACATTATTCTAAGAAAAGTTTAAGACTGTTTTAAAATGTTACCACGAACAGAGTTCCTAATTACCGTCTATATTATATTATGGTTAAAGATATTTTTTTATTCTCAAAAGAAATACATTTCACTTAATGAGAAGTTACAATATTCAAGTTATAAATGGGATATACCGTCTATTATAATAAGTATTTCAATAGTTTATATAAGACATACTGTTATTTCATTGAAATTACTGTACTCTACTTTTGAAAATACATATTTTTTAAATATATACTAATAGTACCGTATAAAATACGTTTACTTTTATATGTGGGTATTCATTTTCCCTAAGATTATCCAAAAAAGTTTTTTAGTTTTGTAGTTGTAAGAATTTGATTTGAAAACCTATTTCTCGTACCTTAAGTGATATAAAATATGTAAAATTATAAATTGTTTGTTATTTCAGTTCCTAGACCTACATATTTCAAAACCGCCCATAATTTTTTTGTAACTACGCCTAGAACATTGACGGAAAGTATCATCCGTCATGAACCAAAAATTTGAACTCCATACAATAACGTCGGTTAATTACATACGTCACATTATACTGCAGAGAACAACGACCGATGTGACTTTTTACGAAAACTATACATATTAGGAGTTTGTAGTGCAAATCACATTAAAAAAAGTCGTCATACAAAACAACTTGTCCAAATTTCACGTTAATTGAATTACTAGTTTTAAAAATATGGAGTAATATTCCATAAAAAATCTTTGGACGGTTCTCCCGTAAAATTGCTAAATTGCAGATCCGTCTTTGTTCTACGACTGCGACGAGATGATTATCGTGTCTCGCACTTCGTTCCAATTATTACTAATATAAGCGGACCTAATATCTCGCGGTACTTGTCGCAATAAACTCTTTTTCGCCGTATTTTGGAGGAATCCGGCGGTCGACGGACTCATGTCTATATTATATGCGTCTGCTAATAGCTTTTTTTGCGCCCTCTACTAATAAGGGCTACCTTCCGGGAAGCGGGGTGGGAGGTGGTGAATGCTCAAAGCATACCACGCTGCCGGCTACGTGATTATGCGGCTCACCGAGACCTCAGTGCCTTACCCACTAAACACCACCTGTGACAGGCTTTAACCTGTTAAGATCGTTAAGAGTCGTATCGGAAGCGACCCCCTCCCCCCCTTTGGCTGAAAAGGGGCGCAGGCGGCGAGCAGCCGCTGAGAAGTGTGCCTAACATAAGGCAGCTTAGAGCAGAATAGGGATGACTAAATTATAGTGAACACAGAAGGTTGTGGTGCTCGGTAAGAGCAAGGAGACGATCCTGGGGGGCTGATAGGAACCTTGAGAGGGCCGATAGAAGCCCTGAGGGCGCTGAGAATTGCCCTGAAGGGGCATTTTGGATGAGAGTGCCGGAAATGAATGATTATTGACCGGTGGTGGAGATTGTTTGGCAGCTTTGTTGCTGGGATGGAGGCGAGGAGTGCAAGGACCTCTGAAGTTGGCCGGGTAGCCAGGCTGTCCGCACAGGACACACGCAGGTGGGGATTCGGCATCACGGGGCCGTGGACACTCGAGCTGTGCGGGTCAAGGCACTTAACGCACCTGGGTGGGGCGGAGCAGTTGGCCGCCGCATGGCCCTAAAGTTGGCAGCATCGATGGAACTGCGCGGGATAACCGCGCCAATGGGGAGACTCGACCTTTACTCTCCTCAAAAAATATTTTTATATCACAAATATCCTCTACTTCAATATTGATATAATATTTTCGTTATATGTCTTGTACGTAGGGAAAAAAATTGACATAATTCAATTATCTACCGAAAAAGCTTCGATACAAGCCCCAATATCTCCGAAGTTCTACATTATTTTGACGTAAAATTTATACCAAAGTAATTATCAACATTTGCTTAAACTATACCTACTGATATTTACTTTTTAAATCGTTACTATTATTTTTTAATTATTTAAATAATATTTCACTGCGTCGGCCATCTGAATTCACTAGGTACCGTGCCAGCTGCTCTCGAGGTCCGACCTGTGACAATTTATTTCGCGCGCTCCGTCTCGAAGGAATATGTCCTTAATATTATACAATGTATACCTAATATGTCGTCTAAGTGCGTTATACATTCCTCGTAAGTTTCGTGATTACCTTTTGTTGTGGGCGCTGATTTCGTCTGCGATATCGTTTAATGTTTTTCCCACTTGAAACCTAATCAAAAGCAATGCACGAAGGTTGTTCCAGGAATAGGTTATGATATAATATATATAACTGGTTGTTGCATTACGAATTGTCGCGCGGCTCCACGGAGTTTGGCATATACCACAGGCAATTTGACGGCGGCCTAAAGTCTCGGAATTAATTTTCCAAAACATTTCCACTCCACCGTACGTATTAAGTTTAAGTTAAATTAGTATTAAGTTCTCGTCTATCGCCATCAAATTCTGTCTTCGCCGTCCATAACATGTTAGTAACATCGAAAAACTTAGGAAATATATAATAAAAATAAGGAAATCCAAGAATCAGCTGGACCTAGCAATCGGTAGCTAAAATAGTCACATACAACAATACAATTTTACCTATTACTTAAATCAATTATTAATTTTACTGCTAGCTTGACATAAAATCTCAGTATGTAATATGTTTTTTGAAGAATCGGTCAAACCTTAGAGTATTTACTTATTTGTACTCTAAGGCAGGCTCTGCACTTAGGTACCAAAATTTTTATGTGGTAGAGCCATGCTGCAATTAGTAGTATAGTTGTAGCACGAATGGGTCGGCTCGACCGGGGAAAGACCACGCTCTCACAGAATGCCAGCGTGAAATAGTAACGTAATACTGCTGTGTTTCGTATGGTGAGTGTAGAGAACTCAGGACCCTTTTTACTGGAAAAGAGGCATTCCATCTTAGTTCTCAAGGCTGACAACGCATCTTCATTTTGATTCGCAAACGAGGATAGATGTAGATGTCTATGGGCCACAGCAACCACTTACCATCAGGTGAACTGTGTGCTCGCTTGTCATCCTTTTCCTATAAAAAAAATCCCTAACTATTTTGAAGGTTTACTTTCTCCTCACTATACCCTGCTAGCATTGTAGAGCTCGTTATGATTAATATAATGTATAACATACTCTTTGCATAAATGCACTGTAAAAAAAACTCAAAGTTGTAAATTTTATTGAAATAAAATATTACATTTGTTTAAAAAATTTAATTTTGAATTCGGTTAAGCCATTCAGGAATTCATTGAAATACAATTAAAGACATTTGAAACCAAAATTTAAAACTGATCATGTTGATCAAGAGACCTGGTAAAAAAAATAGATTTTGGGCAGGTTAATTTTCAAAAATTTTTTCTTATGAAAGCGGGATCAACTGGTGCTCTGCAAGTCGGGCAGATCTGATTAATCATGAACCAAGGCTTGATACAGGTGTAGTGGAACAAATGAGTGCAAGGAAGTGTGACCACATTCGTATTATCTAAGCAAATGGTGCATGTTTCACAAATCTTATCGCGATTGCGGCTGAAACAAAAAGTTAAAGTAAAAATTAAATAAATTTTTCAAAAAATTTACTTTATATAAAAAGTTATAAAAGGCTTATAAAACCATAGACTAAAATAATTTCCACGTTTATAGCTTCTACAGCCCTGAAATATTTAAACTATTTGATGAAAAACAATCGGTTCCCAAATGAAGATATCGGCGTAACATTTATTTGTTTATTTATTTATTTATTTGATTTTAGGGGAAACATACAGTACAATAAAAAAACGTTATAAAACATATAAAAGTAATCCTTAAACCAACGAAGTTTCCACAGATACACATCCACCACTATATCTTCCCGTGGGTGCGGTAAGAGGCGAAAGAGGGAAAAAATCGTGAGATGGGCAGCGGCGTTTTCCTAATAACGACTAAAATTAAAAAAAAATTAGTAAATACCCCCCTTGAGCAAATTTTGATAGCAAAATTTCGTGCGTTAAATGCACCGATATCATCATTTATCATGTAAGAAATTGGTCGATGTACCTTCCTCTTCTATTGTAAGCCGGAAAACCCCAATTCGTTTTATATGCACTTTCAAAAATCTCACGCAATATCTTCATCATTTGAGAACTAATTAGAAAAATTGTTCTTTATTAAATAAGATTTCTTAAATCACCACTCTTCACTGAATCTCTTTCACTGAATTAGTAGTGGTCCATATAAATATGGAGAAATATATGCCACCCCTAAAGGTGGCAAAATAGGGGTGAAGCTTTTGATAAGATTGATAATAACATTATCAAGAAGACATTGAGATTGTTGTGAATTCACTCACAACGGCTAACAAAAATTCAGTTACGCAAAAAATTTGTACAACATACACGAAAAAATATTATACAAAATTGAAGAAGTCCTTCAAGGTGGAATCCTCCCCAATATCTGAAATTTTAGCATGTCAAGATTTAATGAGGAATTTTGTTTGTTTAAAAAACGTTCCTTTTTTGCCAAAAACACAGCCATGTCCAAATGGAAAAGGAATGTCCAAAAAAAATTAATATGCAAATTATTTTTGATATAAATCAAAAAGGAGTTTTTACTGCGAAGCCCTTTATAGGTGATTTAGAAACTCAGATGTTCCGTTTGGCAAACCCTGGAACGCCCCTAACGATTCCAGCCCAAAGAGTGTATGCCGGTGATTCAATACCAATAAAAAAAAATAAGTGATGATATAAAAAAGTTACTGAAGTACCTATATGGGGTACATAGGTACTTCAGTAACTTATATAGCAATATATTCCTTTTTATCAAAAAGTTATTATATAGTGGACCAGCAACCACAGAATAAGACGTTGAAAACATAGTTTTAATTTAAATGAATAAACATTACTTTGATTTTGTGGATTTTGTTCTTTTATTGCAGAAAAGTCCCTTTTTTAATTAAATTATATTTCAGAAAGGGAGTAGGTCCATATTGGCTGCAGAAAAGGCATTAGTCCAAAAATAGAAATCTTAAATAACTAAGAAACTAAAAATTATTTTTATACACTTTTAAAACCATTTGAAGTAGAAAAGTAAATAATATTAGGTCAATTATTAAGTAAATTGGCGTTTTGTACGGGAGAAATATAGTCATTTTTTTTTGTAAAATATGTTTAATTATTCAAAGTATGCACCGTTGTTATTCTATGCACTTTTGCCACCTTATAGGTAGTTCATTGATCCCTTTACTAAAAAAAACCGTGGGGGCAAGAATCAATAAACTCTTTGAAGGCAGTTTGGACTGCCTCATCAGAGTTAATTTTTTTTCCTTGTAAGAAATTGTCCAAATTCCGGAAAAAATGGTAATCTGTTGGAGCAAGGTCTGGGACTATGAATGTCGCAGACATTCTAATTGTAGCACATCTAACTTAGTGGTTGTTTGTTGTACAGTGTGTGGTCTTGCGTTGTCGTGAAGCAGCAGTGGCCTGGAGCGATTGACCAATCTCGGTTGTTTAGCAGCTAGTTCTTCCTTCATGGTTTGCAGTTGCTGACAATAGATATCTGCCGTAATCGTTTGGCCAGATTTTAGAAAGCTGTAGTAAAAGACACCGGCGCTAGTCCACCAAACACTCACAAGTAACTTTTTCTGAGTCAATTTTCGTTTAGGGCAAGATTTGGATGGGTCACCAGGATACAGCCATTGCGACGAGCGCTTCCGATTATCGATTATATTCGAGTAATGATTCGATTTAAAATCCCTTCATTTTTGTCGGTTGAGCAAAGTAACACAGTAGTCGAAGCTTGTTTGCAAGTTCGATTCACTCAAATCATGAGGTACCCATTCAAGTGGATTAATACAGTTTTATGACTTACGCCGAAGCCTGCAGCTATTTCTGAAGGGCTTTGTGATGGATCCGCTTCCACAATAGCCTTTAATTCTTCATTTTCCACTTTGGTCTCCGGGTGTCTACGGGGTTGGTTCTGAAGGTCGAAATATCCAGAACAAAAACGTTGAAACCAAAAACGTACCGTGCTTTCTTTTGCGACACCAGCGCCGTACACATCATTAATCCTTCGCGCTGTTTCTGCACCACTGGTGCCACGGTAGAACTCATTCTCGTCAATATACCGATATTTCATGTTTTCCATTGTGCGGTAATAAGCGACGCCAAAGAAAAAAATTATGAATAAAAATAAATGAATGACTGTTTTCAAAACTCAAATGTTAGTCAAAGTTAAATGAATTTACAAATTTGAATTTGGAATTCTTAACCAAAGAGGAGATATTTCAGATCAAAGTGGTGTAGTACGACAAAACGCTAATTTCATGTGTAATTACCTAATATATAATATAATGTGTAAATACAAGTCCATCAACATCAGTAAAATATAAAGTTTTTACTTAATTCCCTAAAGTTAATTTAAATGAACTAAGACCCTTTCCGCAACATGCAATTCGTTATCTGCAATACGTAATTTCGTATATCAATGTGTTATACTTATTAAACAAAATTTACAATTTTTTACGAATGAGCAGTCACTAAATATTAACACATATTTCACAGCGTATGAATAGGCGTTCTGGACTTATTCTATGATAAATAATCTTCAAGTCAGAATCCTCCAGAGCAATGCTTCAACCTCGGTATATGGAAGTCATCATACCATACCATTACAGTCTTTAAAAGCCCAGAGCTGAACATAGGCCTCCCCCATAAATGGCATCATAAGGGCAATTTTGCCATAGTTAACATGTTTGGCGAGTGGGATGTCAACCACAGTTTTTATTAGTTTGGAGTTGTTATCAGGAATATGCTGCTGCCCAAAATAGTTGGTAAGGAAAGTCATCAAATAGTCACTAAATCTTAAAATATAAAATTTGGTGACTAATTGATGACGCAGACAACAATGGCGTTTTCATGGGGAGGCTGCCATCTTGAATTGAAGCTAGAACCCTCTCAAAAAAAAGGCTCTATTTCCTAAAGTATTAAAACACCAATTGCTTTCTTAAGTCACTATTTGTCACCAATTTCTTATTAAATCTTGACATACTAACATTTTAAATATCTTGGAGCGGGGGGATTCTAGCATGGATGACGCAGTTGAAGGTGGTGCCTCCATTCAAATTTATAGACTGAGGCATCATCCATTTCACAGAAGCAAACTATCTTTTCAGAATGAAGGAGACAAATGAGCACACTGTGTACTGCACCTGATGGTAAACTGGGGAGATTAAATAGGAAACACAGCAGGATTGAGCTGTTATTTTATGCTGGTATTCTGTGAGCGTAGCCTTTCCCCAGCAGAGCAGACCCATTCATGCTACCACCATAATATAGCTACAGCATGGCTCTGCCACATATAGATCTGGTGTACTAAGTACTGTGAGTTTGTACAAAATTCGGCAAAATTGTACATGTCTTTATTTTTATCCTATGCTAAGCAATTAAAAGTTAATATTAATTTTTTAATGGTGTCTCAATCTAGGTAAAAACAATAATAAAGGAATTCTGATAATATAGAAACTATTAATTTTAAAAATATACTTTTGCTTATAAAAGCGAGAAAACTTAGTTACCTAAATATATCTTTATTAACGCTGTGATAGTATATTATTTATACTATAATCACAACACAACAATTTTGAATCTCTGTTCCTTCAATTCAAATTTTATGTTACATAACTGTCAAATTAGCAGTGAAATGAATGTTCAAAAACATATTTTTATTATAGGAGATGGATACTTTTCAGAAGGCAGAAGGCAATACTGGAGATGGACCACCACCATTACATAAATATACATAGACTACAGAGTAGTAAAATATCATCATTAGGGAATCTATATCGGGTCTGACAGCATTACATAATAGTGATGCATTATGTCGCCTCTACACGTTGGCCAACACAGTGGCGAATGGAGTGGCGAATATATTGGCCGAGAGTTGGTGACGGCGTCCACACGTTGGAAGGTCGTTCAGTTTACTTCGGTTCGGGCCAATGTGCGGACGAATTTATAAGCACCGTGGCGCAGTGGCTAAGCAATGAGTGGCTGCGCCGAGCGCCGCGGGTTTGATCCCGCACGGAACAAGTATTTGTATGTCCTACAAATAATTGTTTCGGGTCTGGATGTGTGTCCTTGTGCAATTTATGTTTGTAAACTGCCTGCGCGATACGAGAGAAAATCCTAGTGTGGGGTTAACGTTTTTATAAAAGAACTATAAAATGATAGTGGTTATTAATGGGGCTGTAAATAGATATACGATATACAATTAGCTTTATTTATTTTTTACATGCATCATAAACTGGAATAAATACCATTAGTAAGAACTTAACTTATTTTAAAGTTAAAGAAGTTATAATCGATTAGTCTATGTTTTAAAATTGGGTTTTGATTTTAGTTTAGCAAAATATGTACCTACTTGCATTTCTATCAGACATTTGATGTATATAAAAAACACCATATAATTTATTTGATAATTTAATTATTTTTTGAGAAAGACAAAAACAATAGCAATAAATATAATTAACATTGACTTAATAATAGGTACTAATTATAACTTAGAACATAAATGAAAAACTCATGACGAGCAAAGTGGCTCAGGACCATGCTTTGCGGCAGTCTGTGGAGGAGGATGTTCAGTAGTAGACTTGTGAACAGCTGTAATGATGATAATAATTCGAAATCTTGCACGATTAAATTATAAGAAATCGTAGTTTTTTTTATAGGATAGTGTGACAAACGAGCACACAGTTCACCTGATGGTAAGTGGTTACTGTGGCTCACAGACATCTACATCTATCCTCGATTACGAATCAAAATGCAGATGCGTTGTCACCCGTGAGGACTAAGATGAAATGCCTCGTTTCCTTTAAAAAGGGTCTCTGGTTCTCTACACTCACTATACGAAACACAGCATCATTAAGCTACTATTTTACGCTGATATTCTGTGAGAGCGTGGTCCTTCCCCGGTCGAGCCGACCCATTCGTGCTACAACTACTTCTAATATAACTGCATGGTTCTACCACATATAAATGATGTGCTTCATTTTTTTCATTTTAAAATTGTCCTCGTAATAATCTGATTGTAAATAAATGTTCATTATTTGTTTTGATAAATAGCTTATCGATTAAAACAAATATTTAAAAATAATTAAATCGCGCTAATTAAAGTAGTAGTTGAAATCAGCACTAAAAGGCTAATAGGGGCACCACCCTACAAAGCGTGAATATAAAATTTAAATCAGGTGCGTGTAATCACTCCTTCCCCGGTCGAGCCGACCTTCGTGCTGCAACTATACTTCTAATATAATTGCATGGTTCTACCACGTATAAACGTGCTTCATTTTTTTTTCATTTTAAAATTGTTCTCATAATAATCTGATTTTAAAAAAACGTTAATTTTTTTTTGATAAGTAGCTTATTGATTAAAACAAATGTTCAATAATAATTAAATCGCGCTAATTAAAGTAGTAGGAATGTTTAAAGTTGAAATTGGCACTAAAAGGCTGGTAATGGGGCCATCAACCCTACAAAGCTTGAATATAAAATTTAAATCAGATGCGTGTAATCACTCTGGGAGCTTGTAGCAAACTAAACGCGCGGCCAACGTGTGGACGCGGCGACCAAACTCTGTCAACAATCCTTTGATCTTTTGTAAAAAACCGACACCACACGGATCTCACGCCAACTTGCGGGCCATCGTTCCAATACATACCAATGAAGCCCGAACACCCCGTCTACACGTTGGCCAATGCTATTGGTCACTACATTCGCCACTATGTTGGCCAACGTGTAGAGGCACCGTTAGCAACATTAATGTACCAATCAAAATGTTCTCTCAAATTAGGTAACTAAGGTATCTTAATCAAAAAAATTGTTATTAATAATGACCAAAACAACCACTATAGCTAGCATATTAAAATCTATTGCCAGTTGCTATGAAGTGCATATCTAGTACTTTAAATATTATCAATATCGTCAGATTAGAACTTTATACTAAGTTCAATATGGTAATGTGTATAAATATTTTCTATTCTAGGTGATCCTAGAAGATTATTGCATAGCATAGCATAACATAGCACTGGTGTATTCAGTAACATTAAAACAAGGTTAGTTACCTAAATATTGATAGTTTTATTAGATGTACTTAATAATTAAACACAAAATTAACTAAATGTAACTTCAAGAACAAAATTTAATAAAGAATAACAGAATATTTGATGCTTCTACACCAAGTTTTGGTGAGGATAAGGACACTGGTATCAAAACAATATGGTTGAAGCACAAATGGGTTGGCTCGACTGGGTAGGACCACACTCTCACAGAATACCAGAGTAAAATTGCAGCTTATACTCCTATGTTTTATATGGTGAGTGTTCAGAACCGGACACCCTTTTTACTGGAAACGAGGCATTCCATCTTAGTCCTCAGGGGTGACAACACATCTGCATTTTGTTTCTTAATCAAGAATAAATGTAGATGTCTATGGACCACGGCATCCACTTACCATCAGGTGGACTGTGTGCTCATTTTTCACCCCCATTCTATTAAAAAAGTGATAGTAACTTCATAAAAACAGACAATATGTTTGTACATACACTTGCATTACAAGCCTGTGGAAACAAATCTAGCATTTTGAATCATAATACTAGTATTTGGTTGGATAAGAACCTATTATTTTAAGATTTTTAAATATTATATGCATCTCTAATCCTCAATTTTAACCATTTATTTAATAAATTGCGTAGTAAGCTTTTTATATCATCATCATCATCATCATCATTACAGCCCTTCACAAGTCCACTGCTGAACATAGGCCTCCCCCAAGGAATGCCATAAAGCACTGTTGTGAACCACCTGCATCCATCGACTTCCTGCATGTCTTACCAGGTTGTCACTCTATCCAGTGGGGGGGTCACCCTACACTACGCCCAATGGTACGAGGCTGCCACTTGAGAACCTTTTTTCCCCAACGGTTGTCAGTTCTTTGAACTATATAGCCAGCCCATTGCCACTTCAGCTTACTAATCTGTTGGGTTATGTCACTCTGGTTATACTTACTTTTTGTATATATAGGAGTGAAATTATTTATGTTTTCAGTAAGCTGCTAAAGTAAAAAAAGATCTTTTAAAATTATAAATTAAATATATATTTTAAATGTACGAATACCATATCATAATACCATAAAGCTTTTTTAAATAATATAATAGAAAGCCCTTGCATGGCATATTATATAACCTTGCACACATTTTAAATATAATACAAATATCAATATAAACAATGTTTATTAATTTCAAAACTTATTTCGAAATCAAAATATTCGTGAATTTTTGCCCAAGCAATTCAACCAATGTGATTTATTTGTTCAGCTTTTATTAAAATCAATAAATTATTATTAAGTTACTTATTTGTGATTTTTATTAACTTCATTTGCTTTGAGCAGATTACAATATACTATTTATAGTACCTAATGATTGTTATTCATTCTACAATGGCTCATACACACAAAACTTCTTCCTATTAAAACAACACTTAAGCTGAGATCTATAAACCGTACTTTGACTTTGCTCAGACAGACAGAGAAAGCGGCAAGCCTCTATTGTCCAAATGCTCCAAATTGTCAATTATTAAAGGTAATATTACATTTAAAACAGTGTGTTTATTGAATCGGTATCTTCTTCTAAATTCCTTTTTCGTCATACAAATCAAATGGCTTTTGGTTAAGTATATTCATTTCGAACATAGTATTTAGGCATGCGCCGAAAATTGATATCTGCTGAAGTTCCCAATGTATCTATATTTCCTAAAGTAGATAGAATTCTCTCAATATTGTCCATTATAATTACAAGCTTGGTTTAAAGAAAATCGAAAAGATTCTCGATTCGTCAAACGTCGAGTCCAAATTACTGAAGCTTAGGTCGAATAGGTAGGTAGGATCGGGAGTCCAAGTTCATAAGCCAGTCGTAACATAAAGATCAGGAATTTCAAATATATATAAAACTTAAAATGCACTCAATATAATCAATATCAATATAAATCAAAAGCTTCACATTTGAAATTGTGATTTGACAGCAAATCAAACGTTCCGCTTCTTTCTCACATTTTCAAACTAAAATTAATTAAATGTACTTGTATCTCTCTTCAAACACGCTCTTTTTCAATTTCACGTATTAGTAACATATTTATGAAGTGCAGTGTGGACTGTTTTTGACCTTTAAATATATATTTTATTTTACTTTGTACAGTAAAATCAATAACATAATGCGTGGAATGAAGCATGCATAAACTTCTTGACAGTCTGAACCTTAGCATATAAATTTATAGCTGATACAACTATAAATTTGGAATCAAAGATTATGCATATATATATATCATTGGTCATTGGCTATTACAAATTCAGTGTCAAAGCTAAACAAAAACAACCACATCATAAGTTTGAGCACTGGCCGAGTCAGAAGCTGGTATAAATTTAAAAGCGGTGTGATTTCTCTCCAACACAACACAGTATACAATTTAGGTACCTACTCCTTGCAACTGGGACTGGGATTAGCGGTCAGCTGCCACCGCTCACGAACACACGCGCCTCAAACTTATAGTAGTATACCTACTTAACATGGTGCATTTGTATGAATATAAAGCTTTGGCTGTTCTGTTTCATTACTCAATACTCTTGTGATGGAACTATGTGAATTCACTAAATGGGAGTTGCCTTAGTAATTCATTTTGTTCTTCAAATTTATAAAATACCAACCCCGAAGTTTATGTATTTTTGATAAAATGACACAGATATCACAAAACATAAATGTCAAGCTTCTCCTTTTTAGTGCTTTTTTAAAGTGCAGGTAATAGATGCAAAAACATTTTATTTGATTATGTACCTAATGTAATATTTGTGCTATAAATAATTTAAATGTTACTTACTAATTACTGTTAGAACTGGAATGGCTATTGGAAGGTCTCAAATTTCTACTTGATGTGTTACATTGTGGGTTTTCGGTTGCGGTGTTCCTGCTTGCAAAGTACGTAATGCCCGCACCAAGAAAAATACCGATAGCACCCGCAACGGCAGCTCCAAAATAACTGCTTTCCCCTTGACTGTCGTCCTTTTCATTATCTTCTTCATGAGAACTCATTATTTTGAGGAAGGTAATATAACAGGTATCTAGTACAAAGAACGACCACTGTCCAGTGTCCACGTTAACACGAGTTATTCTAATGGTGGCACTTCACATGGCTATTTGTATTTGCGTATTTGGGGTATTCGACAAATAACTTCCATGTGTGGAGAGTATATTTGCCATAATTATTGCCGTATTTGCCTATTTGGCAAATATAGCCAATAACAAATACGGCTTACCGATCGTCTGTCGGTTTTTTAAGGCACATCAAAGGAGACAAATAGGCAAATACGCAAATATACTGGCCACACATGGTCGGGCTCATAAGCGCGCGAACTGTCAACCAGTACGGACGGACCTGTTTATAACCTTAATAAGTAATTATTTAGATACATACGGAAAATGAATTGGGACAAAGAAACCGTTGTAAGGTTTTTAGAACTTTACCAAATGAACCCATGCATTTGGGACCCTGGAAACGAGGGGCATAAAAACCGGCAAAGAGTAAACGACGCGTGGAATACAATTAAAGACAATTTGGGTGTACCATGTACCCTGCAAGATTTAAAAAAAAAGAAGGAGTCGCTTATGTCTGCGTACCGAGGTTACAAAACCAAAATAAAGAAAAGCGAACGATCCGGATCAGGTGCATCCGATGTGTATCAACCAAGTTGGTTTGCATTTGCATTCATGGATAGTTTTTTGAATTCTGTTTATACCTGCAACAGTACCATAAACACTGTGGTAAGTAATAATACATTTATAGAAGACAATTTCTTTTTGTATATAGAATGGGCCCACCACAAATTTTAGCTACAATTAATGAAATGCATGTCAATTTATTCCTTATCATCTATAAATTACAAAATTAATATTAGTTTTACCGCATCTAACGGGAATACTGAAAAATTAAAAATAAAAATATGAATATCACAATAACCTATAAACAAACTAAAAACTATTTTCTAGTAGTATTCACCGATATTATGAGTTAGAATAGTACATATTATAGAATAGAATAGCTTAAAATTAGTATAAAACAAAGTTGTAGGTTCATTCAGCGTTTATAGGTACTTTAAGATTGATGGAAAATCTTTTTAGTAGGTCTGGCAAAAAATGGTGCACAGCAGACAAACAAACATGGTGTGGAGACTATTTTTACATAGTTAATTAATTAGTGAATATACATCACAAACACCACTACACTAATTAAATAAATATGATTAAAGCCAAGATGAATAAGGGATAATATGTCCATTTATAATATTACCTTTACATGCTAAGCTAGCTAAGCTAGTAAGAAAGATATTTTAAACTGGTTGTATGATGATAAAAACACAAAGTAAAATACCACTGTATGTATTACTGTAATCATTTCCAAAGTAGTTTGTCTAGTGGTTGTAGTAGTGCGACTGCTGATCATGAGGTCCCGGGTTCGAATCCCGGGTCGGGCCAAAAAAATCAGTTATTGAGTTTTTCCATCAAGAAATTCTCAGTATCTGCCTGGAGTCAGGAAGTTGGCGGTGTTTCACCCCCGTGCCTCGGAAAGCACGTAAAGTCGTTGGTCCTACGCCCGATCTCTCTCCGGTCGTGTCGGTTTACCGTCCCATCGGGCTATGAGAGTGAGGGAATAGAGAGTGCTCCTGTGCTTGCGCATACACTTGGGCACTATAATCCTGTCCTGCGCAGATGGCTAGTCTCCGTTGAGGCTGGCCGCCGTGGCCGAAATTCGGTCTGGAGGACATTATTATTATTATTATCTATAAAAAAAATATAACTACCTATAAATTTTATAATAATAATTTTATTTTATTTTCAAATAATAAACAGATAGGTAAGTTTACAGATCAATCAGTTTCATGTATTATAAAAGTAATTAGCAAAGTCGTTTCTGATTTCGACTGGATTCCTTGGAGATCTTCTAGGAATGTTACGAATATCACGCAGTGCTGGGTTGTTGGGAATATCGGCCCTCCATGACCCTGGTATTATTAAGTCGTCTCCATCATTCAGGTCGAATGTACCAGGTGGATTATATACATTTCTAGACAGTCTACTTCTTCTCAAAAAGTTGTGTAGAACTACACACGCCATGACTACTTGGCTAGCTGATTCAGGTTCAAGTAGCATAGGCGAACGTAGCACTCTAAATATAGCAGACATAACACCAAATACATTTTCAACGATAACACGGGCTGATGAAAGCTTCTTGTTGAAAATTCTTTCTTTGGTGCCTTCTCGATGATTCCCTGGATATGGTTTCATGATATTGTTATGTAAGGCAAATGCTCCATCACCTAAGAATACATATGGCAAGTCACCATTTCCATTTTGTAGTGGAATTGGTGCTGGTAGCCCCAACGTATTATTGTTTATTTTATTCCACAGAACGGAGTTTTTCAAAACGCCTCCATCACTTATCCTCCCTTGACATCCCACGTCGGCATACATAAAGCAGTAATTACTATCAACCAAAGCTAATAAAACGATGCTAAAAGATTTTTTTGTAGTTGTAATATTCTGAGCCACTGTTAACTGGAGACTGTATCACTACATGTTTTCCATCTATCGCACCTATGCAGTGCGGGAAACGTTGATGGAAGCCACCTTCTATGTCCAACCAGTCTTGTTCTACCACGGGCAACTGTAACAAAAATATTAATGTTATTTATACTTGCAGGATGAAGAACTTACGATTAATGAAGATCAAAACACAGAACAGGGCCCTATAGATCAAAATATTAGAAGCCAAGAACAACAGGAATTAAATTCAAATGAACAACAGGGTTCAACAGCAAGACCAATATTGCATAGAAGAAGACAAAATAATCCACCTGAACTTATAGAAGCGAAAAAACGAATGGATGAAGCATATAGTTTTATGAAGCAACATTCCCAGCTGCAGCTAAAGGATGAAGATGATGAATGCTCTACCTTTGGGGTACTTGTGGCTAGAAAGCTACGAAAACTTTCTGAACAACGCCGAGACATCATGATGGCAAAAATACATGAGCTATTTGTCGATGAACACGTCTACAACTTCAATTTGCCTAATTATTCTTCCAGTCGCCCAAATTCTGCTGCAACAATGCTATCATACACACCATCACCACCCCAAATCAATATCGCATCTCCGTCAGCGGTTGCAAGTTCGCCAAAGGTTGCATATCCGACAGATGTGGCATCTCTGAATTCTGCTACCAGTCAACCTAATTCTGATGCAACAATGTTATCGTATACACCATCACCACCGCAAAGCAATATCGCATCTCCTCCACAGGTTGCATTTCCGACAGAAGTGGAATATCTTAATTGTGTTAACAGTTATCCAAATTCTACAAAGGTTTTGTATACGTCATCTTCACCGCAAATGGATGCTCCTTCTCCTGCATATCATGTTGAATACTCAGAATACTCTAATGATACTCCTTTGAATCTACCGAATCCTACTTCTAGAATGGTGTCGTATACACCATCACCATCGCAAATACCTCGAGGGAAAAATAATTAATAGCATATTTAATACCTACTTAAAAATAATTTGATTACGATTAATAAAAGTTAATGAAAATTATATATGTTGTTTACCTTGATTTGATCCTTTAGAACCTGATATAAAGCAGCACACACTTCCATTATAATTCTTGAGATTATTTGACTTGATATCTTGAAGGTATAGTGAAGGCTTCTATAACTGTCTCCTGATGCAAGGAATCGTAAAGTAATCGCTAATCTAACTTTTGCAGGTATAGCTTCTCTCCATTTTGTATCCTTTTTAGAAATTATGGGATGGACTTTTTGTAACAAAAAATTAAAATCTGCATAAGACATTCGGCAGAAATTATCAAACTCGTTAGAGGGGTTCTGCTAACATTTCTTGAAACCTTGTCTCCATAGATTCCCTGGAAATATAAATAACTTTTATTGTGTATTTACAACCTAAAACCGAGGAGTCTCTTAGAGATAAATTTAAAGAAATTAATATATTAACTTTGGCCTCTCAGTATATTTACCAAAATTTTATGTATGTTCACAAGAACATAGACAGTTTTAGTAAAAAGTGATATACACTCTGTAAACACTAGGAACAAACACAAGCTAGTGACCTATATCTCGAGTCCATAAAGTCAGTAACCCGTTCTTGGGGCAATGTATACGCTATTACTATGGAGTGTCTACTCTACACTCCATAGCTATTACCAAGTTTAAATATTTAATTAATGAAAAACTCTATAAAAAGGGCTAATATAAATGAATACATGGTTGATAATAAACCCTGGGAACGAGGTAGTCGCTTGCAATCTGTTTCTAAAATAAATTGTAAATAGTTTGTAACCATTTATATTGTAAAATTTATTTTAAAAAAATCCTGCTGGATTTCTTGCTAGTTCTTCTCAGGACAGAGGGTTTTTTTTCCAACCAGTGGTAAAGTAAAAAAATACTTTCAATAAGAATTACACATGTGATCTATATTGAATAAAAAATTATTCTATTCTATTCTGTATATACTAATTAGATTTAGGTTCTTATTTTATTGGAATTTTCGTTAATATGATTTGCGTGTCATGCAAAAGTCATTCTACAAATGAAATAAACAAATTACTTACTTGGTTCGATTTTTATGCACAGTCAGCATCCACCATCGCCTTGCTCTTGGTCTTTTTTTTATCACTTTGTATTTTTTTACGCATAACATGTAATAGTAACATGCGTTCAAATAATAAAATCCAGCTGAAAGTGCAACGTCCATTTTATAGGTACAACTACTTTACGCTGGCAAACATGTTTCATTTTTTGGTATTTGGCTCCATGTGTGGACGGTTATATCGTTTATTTGCCCTTACGTCAATTTTTTTGCCAAATACGGCAACATGCTATCACAAATACCAAATAGCCATGTGAAGTGCCACTATAAGGGAGGATACAGAACCAAAAACTGTAATATGAGTAAGACAATTAATTTATACCTTGCTCTATAGTTTGTTGTACAAGGAAATTGGCAGGGGGATTCCGGA